AGAAAGTTTGAGATGCTGACATATTGCACAGATGTTATTCACATATAAAGTTAACTTATGAAAGAAACAACTAATTAAATAACAATGCATTTTGTTCTATTCTAAAACATGATGTCTGCTGTAAGACAATGCTGCTCATTTTCAGGAAGCAGTGCTTTTCCTGCAGCGACTAAACACCAGCTTACATAATGCATACACGGGCACCATCAGACTGGGGACTCCTGCCAAGACAAATATGGCTGCATTGATCCATGGAGGGTAGGGCACTGATGCCAGAGTTGGAAACTCCTTCTGTAAAACACAAATAACCTGATTAGTAATATATATAGAAAGGAAAAAGAGGATGATGATAAAATCAAAAGATGTTGTGAGTTTGTGCGCGTACAAAACTTGGGTCCCAGACCAAATAGGTGAGTTCATCTTGAGCTTCGATCACCAGGTAGAAAACTAAGATCACTAGGATGATTAGAGGACTGATGAACCTCCATGACACCTGCCAGAAGATGGAGGGCTTGTATCCAATCATGAACTCCAAGTCCTCATTGAACCTGCCACACGACAGGGTTTAGATTATATTACATTAGGAAAAAAAGGAAGTCCTCACATTCCTCTAAGAGATTAACAGGGGTGACGTGGCCAAGATAACAGAACAGGTTACAAAACATTTATCACAGACTTATGGTAAAATAGATATAAACCACCCTAATAAGCAGTTGCTTCTGTCTTTCACACGTTTGTGGAACCAGTAGGTAGATATTTCATTCATTTTAAGAACGAGTGTGGCTGGTAACGTGGACATTTTGCAGTAGGCTGTGCAATATAATAAAATAGAGGATGTGACCAACCTGTCTATGCCATAGATGTGAACGACAGCGATCAACTCAATCAATCCAATAGTCAGAAGAGGAACTGATCCAGCAAAATTGTCGAAGAGCGTTACCCAGTAAAACCCAGAATTCTGTGCAAACAGGAGCGAGATGACGAATCCGACAACACATGTTGTTCCTGAAACACACACATGCATAAAGAAAGGCAAGCATGTGTTAAAACGGAGTGCAGAGAATCTGTTCATCTGCGGTTTCACGTGTAGACTGTTTTTTTAAGAAAAACTCAGAATACCAGTTACGGCTTCTTGGGGCCATTTTTGAGGAAGCATTTTCAGGTCTCTCAAGGGGACCACCACTCCTTCAATGTTGCCAAACAGGGTTGATATTCCCAGGCAGAGAAGCATAATGAAAAAGAGGACAGACCAGATTGGGGAACCAGGCATCTTGGTGATGGCCTCTGTAAACACAATGAAGGCCAGACCTGTTCCCTCCACTCCCTGGACAAACACACATCAGTCACAAAGCAAACAAGAGCAAACGACAACTGAGGAACCTGATGAGAAATGTTACCTCACTGAGAAGCTTCTGCATGTCACACGTTTTGATGTCCAGTCCAAGGACAATGTCAGGATTGGAGCTGTTGAGGTGATTGTACGCAGCCTCGTAGTTGCTTGTAGTGATGTTGTCCTCAGGAAGATTAAATGCATTTAATAGTTTCATGATGTTTCTGAAAAAAAGTACATCACTGATTTGTAACCTTGCATTCCTAGAGTCAATATGACATGTGTGATTATTAATGAGCAATGTCAATG